TATTGTTTTATTTGAATCTTCCCATTGATGTTTAGGACTGAAATTGTTCAGTCTCTTATTGGCATATGTGCATACTGTACGTATGCCTCGATATTGCCTTAATTTACAAGCATTATAAGCAAAGATGGATAGTGGCTAGCAGTGGAATCCAGGACGCGCGTTTCGTCCTATTTGGGACTCGTCAGATGGATGTACCTGCATCTCAGACTTGTTGATGTTCACTCCGGGACTCGAACCCAGCACCGTCCGCTTCAAACGCCAACGCGTTATCCACTTAGCTACTGAGTCCTGATAGGACGAAACGCGCGTCCTGGATTCCACTGCTAGCCACTATCCATCTTTGCTTATAATGTATTATAATAGTTTATCATTTTTCTTACTATAATTCTTCTTTAATAATAGTGATCTCTTTATTGATTTTACTATTATTAACTTTATTCAATGATATTCTCAACATAAAGTATTTCAATAAGTTTTCTATTTCTTACTTCTTGATTGATTTTGACGAGAACATATTGAATGATTGTTAGTTAGATGTTAATTGACATCTGAATAATGTACAATCATTTCACTGAACATTGACAGCAATCACAATATCACTGATTGAGCTTAGAGTAATTTCCATTATCTAGAATCTATGGAAGACCTTCAAGTGATGCTAAACTGACTATAAGAATTAGATGGTGATTGGAGGTAGTCGACAGGAAACCCTGGACCCGGGTTTCGTGCTACTTGGCACTCGTCAGCAAAGTGTACCTGGTGGCCACATTGCAACATGATCGATAGCATTCGATCTGCACTAATAATAAGGACTAGACACGCATGACATTGGTCACCCAGTGATCAATCAATTGTGATTACATCTCAGTCCTACAGGAGGTCGGTCGCGGCCCGGATAGCTCAGTGGTAACGTCTCTGACTGTGAAGCTGGGTGACACGGGATCGAATGCGCCAGGGAGCACCAGTTCCCTCGAGTATTACAGGTACACCTTGCTGACGAGTGCCAAGTAGCACGAAACCCAGGTCCAGGGTTTCCTGTCGACTACCTCCAATCACCATCTAATCTCACAATAGTGCCCGCAGTGTCGAGTCACCTAGACTGGTGGCCACATTGCAACATGATCGATAGCATTCGATCTGCACTAATAATAAGGACTAGACACGCATGACATTGGTCACCACCCAGTGATCCATCAATTGTGATGACTATAAGAATATCCATCTACATATTAGGGCTAAATGATGATTATAAAGCAGTATAAAGAATTGGAATTATCATTTACTGTTGATGGTTAAGTTGAGAAATTAGATTTAGGGGATTTTCATCATGAACTGATATCAGCTAAACTACTAAGATGATATTTCAATAAATGAATGAATGAATGAATGAATGAATTTTGTGCCAAAAATCCATGATCTATTATCTTATGACGGATTGATTTATTCATAAATCATAGTCTCACTTAAGAAACGTATTTTTTGGGTGTATAAACTGAATAAATATTATGACATTATATTTTTGGTAAGTTCAATTGTTAAATTATCTAGTTTCCTTATTCAACCTAATTCAATTTATGGAACTCATTAGTATGGATAGTGTCTATAGATAAAGCGTAACTTAATATCCAGTATATAAATCTGTATATGGTCAAGTAGATGAATAATATAATAGTAACGGTTTAGTAATCTTAATAGTTGAGATCATGAGTCAACTAATGTTAGACCATGATAGAAAATCTGGAATCATTGAGACTTCTATTTTATCTTATTGTGAGACTCCTCAGTAACAGTGCACATTCACTATCCTACCTCTCGAGATTCGTACCCAGGACCTATCGATTACACGGGTAAACACTTAACCTTTATTCATTTTATTACAGTCTCTCCGTCATTTTACTGATTAAAAAACTTTAGACAATAATTTTGATTGAAAGAAAATGTACATTTTGACCTCATTTAATCATAATTCTACTATTTTCATAATCACTGAAAGAACCAAACTATTGTGCAATAATATACCAATACAATAAACGTAACATTATTCATCGAAACATCTGGACCTATGATACCCTATGAAGATGATTTCATTTGAACATAATGTTCTTGTATGTCTTTATCAAGTTTAATATACGATTTAAGACTAAAATTTATGAACGTGTAGTGTGGTATCGAGTCGCATTTGACTATGATCACCATTACAAGAACACTACGTGATAGTTAACCGATAAGATCCCTTGTAGGCCAAATATCAGAAGGTAGTTGATGGCTGTAGTTCATATGTATTTGTTGGCGACCTCATGTTATCGAAAGAATACCAAGATCGTTCCAAGTTACAAGTGGGGTTACTGAGCGTAACCGAATCCTTACAACGTCACAGTCAACGGAAGAAAGTACGTATTTTGATACAGTTAAATAAACCAGTACAGTAAAACAATCACTGGTACAATTAGTTATAATAGTAATTGTTTCCATTACACCAATCGCATTCTGTTGATAAAAGTAGGTCACTACAAACGAATCAATCAGATTTAAGGTAACAGGTCATGGGTTTGAGCGCAAAATTCGTTCATTCATTTGGCTAAATAAAGTTTCTGCATTTTAACTGATGTCAATTCGTGATGAAAACTTTAAATCTAATTCCTAACCTTAATCGTCAAATGTCAATCATAATCCTTACTCTTTAAACTGCTTTATAATCTTTATTTAGCTCTAGTAAGTTGGTCAACATTCTCAAGGTGACTTTAGAGTCGATCAGCTATCTTCCATAAATTATAGTTACACCAATATGGTAACGATAGCGGTTTCACTAACTCGAGTAGGTCTTCAATCACTCGACACAGATCATCTACCTAAGTTAACAAGAACAGGTTTACGTAAACAGCATTGAACAATGTTGTTTATGTATGATCTAATAATACCAATTAACTACCTAAATTGATGTAAGTTGGACAGAAACAAAAATTGTTACTAAGTGGTCGAAATTCAAGTTCTATATAGTAGACATAACATTTTCATGATAATAATAATGTTCATAATGATCTTCAATGGTATTTTACTAGTTCAGTCACTACACACTACCATATCATAAAAGTATACAAGAGATATTTCATACAATTGAAAATGAAAAATTCTACTACATATCTGGGAAGCATAGTCGATAAACAAGGAGGTTCAGATGCAGACGTCAAGGCAAGGATTGGCAAAGCTAGAGCGGCATTCCTTCAACTGAAGAACATATGGAACTCAAAACAACTTTCAACCAATATCACAGTCAGAATCTTCAATACAAACGTCAAGGCAGTTCTACTGTACGGAGCTGAAACTTGGAGAACTAAAACAACCACCATCAAGAAGGTACAGGTATTTATCAACAGCTGTCTACGCATGATACTCAACATTCATTGGCCGGATACCATCAGCAACAGCCTTTTGTGGGAGAGAACCAACCAGCTTCCAGCGGAAGAGGAAATTAGGAAAAGACGATGGAAATGGATAGGACATACATTGAGGAAATCATCAAACTGCATTACGAAGCAAGCGCTAACTTGGAATCCTGAATGGAAGCGGAAAAGAGGAAGGCGAAAGAACACATTACGTCGGGAAATAGAAGTGGATATGAATAGGGATGAATAAAAACTGGAAAGAGCTTGAAAGGATTGCCCAGGACAGGGTTGGATGGAGAATGCTGGTGAGCGGCCTATGCTCCTTCACGAGGAGTAACAGGCGTAAGTAAGTAAGTAACTTGTACTAGACTTACATACTGAACTACTCTCATATTGTGAACAGTCACACTTGTGAATTAATGAACAACAATTGTTATTATCATAATATTAATATAGTGAGATTTATGAAATATTATGTACACACCAGACAGATTCAAGGTCAATAGAACCATCGATTAGTTCCTTGCGGGGGGGGCGGGGTTGAACAACTTACTTCTTTTTTTAAGTATTTACTAATGATATTGTCAAGAAAGAGAATTCAGGTTATATGACAAAACTATTCATCTAAGAGAATACAATAATCCCAAAAATCTTTACAAATCCTATAATCTTGATCAGAATTCAATGTCCACAACTAATCATAGAATACAAACTTAATCGTTTAAATGATTATTTGTACACATTTGACTAGAACAAAACATCCGTTCAGTAATTCTCACTAGTCTTCAATACTTTACTTTATGATAGATACATACTTCACTATAATAATACGTGGATACAAATTTTTTTCTACGAAGAAGTGGACCTACTGTTGATGTCTTTTTTTTTAATCTTCAGATGTTTCATATGGTTAACATACAGAATATATTCTACTCTTTGTGTTTATCAACAGTTCACAATTGTTGTATTCTAAACTATGAACATTATATTTGTTAAGATAGGGTGTAAGTGTAAAAGAGTTGTTTCTCACCTTCCATTCAATCTTGAAATGATATGCATACATAAGTAATATGGTAGGTTCATATTGACTTAGCTTATCATTTAGTTAAATTCATTACATAGTTTTATATAGAAACTCTAATTATTTTTAAGTTACAAAATTGATTATGATTAATACAATAAAGTTTTAAATTCACTTTGTGTTAGTTTACTTGTATCTTCTCATTGTTCTTTCGAACTAGAATTGATCAGTCTCATGTTGGCATATGTACATTCTGTATGGATTACTTCGATATAACCTTAAGTCAAAAACTTTTTAAGCAAAGATGGATAATGGCTAGCAGTTGAATCCAGAACTCAGTAACTAAATGGATAACTCAATGGCATTTGAAATGAATGGTACAGGGTTCCAGTCTCAGAGTGAACATCAACTTGAATGGATGTACATCCAGTTGATAAGTCCCAAGTAGGATGAAACGCGAATCATCCATTCCACTGCTAATCATCATCTATCTTTGCTTAATACAATGAATTATTTCATCCTTTTTTTGAACAGATTCATCAATATTATTATGTAACATTGTTGTTGTTGTTGTTGTTGTTGTTGATATCATTTAGGGTACTCCTATTGATTATCAATCAAAACGTTGGACCGATTTTAAAAGAGCTGTCAGATGGTCAGAATATCCATATTCATTTTCACCAGAAGTAAAACGTCATTATTTATATGAACAACGACCATATTACAATGATATTATAGTTTAATTAATAAATCTATATTGATTTATCTATTTGATCAAGAAATGAAGAAATTATCATTTCACATAGATTAACTGATTGATAATAATAATAATAATAATAATAAATTTCATACAGAATATTGGTATTTTATCTTAAAGCTACTTGAATAATTAAAAGAGTTATGATAGTTGAATTCATGAATCTATTGAAGTTAGATCACCATAGAAAACTTGGAAGCTTTGGACGACCATTTCGTTGTAGTATCGGACTCTTCGGAAGTACTCACGTGAAATCAATCGGTCCTGATTTCGAATCTCACCAGTGAGATGGTAGGTGTGCACTGATGAGGAGTAGTATACTAGGACGAAATGGCTGTCCAGTTCTCCCAGGTTCTTTATGGTGGTCTTATTATTATTATTATTATTTTAACACATAGATATTGGTACAAGGAGGCACCAAATACATATACGCCATACAGATTTCAATTGATATGTGTGAGGGCTGTGATACTGCCCGAGTGCCCAAACTGAAGCAGGTGGTTTTCTTATGGGGCCACATACAGAGCCTTCAACCTGAACGTCTGATCCACAAGGCGGAGTCGAGCATCGTAAGCAGATGTAGTCCCATGGTAGCCGGTGACCAACGATTGGTTCATACGCCATTTGTTCCTTCAGGATACTGGAGCCCATATTCACCATTGGGATCCGGTTAACGAGCCGGACATTCGCTTTCCGTCCTCTCAATTTCGTAGGGAACACCCCCGCCACGAGAAGGAACGCAGTGAGTAGGACTTCCGTGGCACAAACTATATACGCGTGGTCATGTGAGAACATTTGGAGAGGGTGAGTGGACTCTCCCCACTCTCGGCCATACCAGGGCGTTTGGGAGCTATAAATGAGTGTGAGGAATCAAGATTAGAATTTATAATTCTACGTTAGAATGAGGAATTAGATTTAAGATTGTTATCATTACGTAACATCAGCTATAATGCCAAAGTGTAATTTAACCAAGTGGGTGAATAAATGTCTTGCCGAAATTCAAGACTTGTTTCCTTAGAATCTGATTGGTTCATTCATAAATTATAGTCTCGTCAGATTGATAAAAAGAAAAGTAAACAATTCTGTTTCCAAGTGATAAAAAGAGATCCAAAAAGTCAATCACCGAGATACAAGAATGTAAATTAATAATGAAAATTAAACTATAGATAGTTTGTTTGGAAGTGATCATCAGGACACTCTAGATCTAGAATCTGTCCTAGTTAACACTTATTAAGAAGATGTACTTAATATTTCAAGGGAACCAATACTTTCTGTTACATCCGTACGTTAATAATTTAGTTCCAGTATTAGACGCTACCATTAAGATATTCGATAACAGGTTGATATTTTGTAGGACTGATCGATAAAATTCGGTTACTAAATACAAAAAAACCGTCAACATTGAAATGATGTTAAACAAACTATATTTATAATAAACGATTATTTAATTCATTATTCAACTATCAAAGAAATAGAAAAGCTCATATGAATTATTTAAATCCGTTAAAAGTTATAAAAGAACAGTGAATAATGGTTAGCAGTTGAATCCAGGATGCGCGTTTCGTCTTATTTAGGACTCATCAACTGAATGTACCTACATTCTAGATTTAATGTTCACTCTGACATTCGAACCCAGTAACGTTCGTTTCAAATGTCATTTCAAGTTATTGACTTAGCTTGTGAATTCAGGTAATATCGATTCAATACACATAGTATGCACATAGGCTAATAATAAGAGACTTAATCAATTACAATCCTAATTATCAATGAGAAGATTCGAAATAAAACAATATCAAGTGAATTGAATGAATATTTACAAATAAAACAATAAAGAGACTAGAAATTGTATCAGTAAAAATAACCTTTCGTTTTAAATGATTTTTCTGCTTAGCGCGATGGGGTCGCTAACCCTATGCCCAAACCTCCTCTTTTACTCGGTCTTGGAACCGGCAGTAACTCTGGAAGAGCTACAGATATAAATTAACTGTAATGATTAGAAAACAATTTACTTTTAAATGATGATCATTTAAATTAAAGAGATTCTGTACATGTGTTTTCTATTCCATATTATGATAACAGAATAGTGTCATTTAAGACCAAATCATTCAACAGACTATAAAATCGATAAGAATTCAATATCCACTATCATATACATATACTGTAATGAACAAAAAACATCAGTGATGACAATCGAATGTATTTGATCAGATAATTACAGTGTATCCATCACATATCAAACTTAACTGTTCCTGTTGCAAATATCAATCCATTGTCTTAGATTTCATTGTTCATGAATTTTTATACCAATTGCGTTTCGTTCCCGTTCTTTCCTCATCAACCATCTACTGAAATACATTCTATACCTGACCACCGTTATATACTACTTATGTGGATATAATAAGTAACTCCATACCACAATACCAATAAGATCTTCATAGTTTATTTGTCTCTGTTTATTAACTACTTAATGTTTATGAATTCTTTATGATTAAAATCGATCCCTTCCAATCTTATAAAGATCACAATAATAATTTGAATAAAGGAATAGAAATCATTTCTTATACCTAAAAAGATTGATACAAAAATAAACATTATAGATGCATTCACTTGATATTGTTTTATTTGAATCTTCCCATTGATGTTTAGAAACTCCGCCTGTAACTCTTCCAGAGTTACTGCCGGTCCCAAGCCCGGGTAAAGGAGGAGGGTTGGGCATGGGGTTAGCGTCCCCATCCCGTAGAAACCTAACTCGCTAAAAAAACGCTAACCAGAAAAAATAACTCAAACCATTTAAACCCTGCCCTGGGAGTTAGAGGTAATATGACGCTTCATGGTGAAAGCCGAGTTCCTTCGGAAGCCACGAGGCTGATGCCTCTTCTAACAACCAGAGCAACAATTTTTATAGGTACATGGAACGTCCGGACAATGTGGGAGACCGGGAAGACCAGTCAAATAGCAACGGAAATGAGGAGATACAACTTGGCAGTACTGGGAATCAGTGAAACCCATTGGACCCAAGCTGGACAACAAAGGCTAAATACGGGAGAGATGCTGCTATACTCCGGTCACGAAGAGGAAAATGCTCCACACACTCAGGGAGTTGCTCTAATGCTATCCAAAGTAGCACGAAATGCACTTGTAGGATGGGAATCTCACGGATCCAGAATCATCAAAGCATCATTCAAAACAAAGAAGGAGGGGATCACAATGAACATTATCCAATGTTATGCACCCACCAATGATAGCAACGACGACGTTAAGGATCAATTCTATGAGAGGCTGCAATCAATCATAGAGAAGTGCCCAAGAAAGGACCTCACCATTCTGATGGGAGATCTAAACGCCAAAGTCGGAATGGACAACACCGGATATGAAGACATCATGGGACTACATGGACTGGGAGAGAGAAACGAAAACGGGGAAAGACTTGCAAATCTGTGTGCATTCAATAAATTGGTCATAAGCGGTACAACATTTCCACACAAACGTATACACAAAGCTACGTGGATCTCACCGGACCACACCACAGAGAACCAGATAGATCACATTTGCATCAATAAAAAGTTCCGAAGGACAATGGAAGATGTGAAAACCAAGAGAGGAGCGGACATAGCTTCAGATCATCACCTAGTTGTGGCCAAATTGAAACTGAAGCTAAAGAAGAACTGGACAACTGGACAAACAGCACCACAAAGGTTCAATACAGCCTTCCTTCGAGATACTGACAAACTCAATGAATTCAAGGTAGCTCTCAACAACAGGTTCCAAGCCTTACAGGATCTACTGAAGGAAGAAGAAACTACTATGGAGGATAGTTGGAAAGGTATCAAAGAAACATTAACTTCAACGTGTCAAGAGGTTCTGGGCCCCAAGAAACATCATCACAAGGGATGGATCTCTACAGAAACACTGGACAGGATCAAAGAAAGAAAGAACAAGAAGACAGCAATTAACAACAGTCGAACAAGAGCAGAGAAAGTCCAAGCACAAGCAGAGTACATAGAAGCAAACAAGAAAGTGAAGAAGAGCATTAGAGCTGATAAGCAAAAATACGTGGAAGAACTAGCAACGACGGCGGAAAAAGCTGCAAGAGAAGGAAATATGAGACAGCTTTACGATACGACGAAGAAGCTTGCAGGGAAATACAGTAAACCAGAGAGACCAGTCAAAGACAAAGAAGGAAGACCAATCACTGAGATTCAACAACAGCGCAACAGATGGGCAGAGTACTTCGAGGAACTCCTGAACAGACCGGCTCCAATGAATCCACCGGACATCGAAGCAGCACACACAAATTTTCCTATAGATGTCAATCCACCAACGACAGAAGAAATCAGAATGGCCATCGGACAAATCAAGAGCGGGAAAGCAGCAGGACCTGACAATATACCAGCTGAAGCGTTGAAGTCAGACATCGAAGTAACTACAAGCATGCTTCATCTTCTATTCAAGAAGATTTGGGAGGAGGAACAAGTGCCGATGGATTGGAAAGAAGGACACCTCATCAAGATTCCAAAGAAAGGAGATCTGAGCAAGTGTGAAAACTATAGAGGCATTACACTACTGTCAATACCGGGTAAAGTCTTCAACAGAGTGTTACTGAACAGGATGAAAGACGCAGTTGACGCTCAACTTCGAGATCAACAAGCTGGATTCCGTAAGGACCGGTCGTGCACAGACCAGATTGCGACACTACGGATCATCGTCGAACAATCAATTGAGTGGAACTCGTCACTCTACATCAACTTCATTGATTATGAGAATGCATTTGACAGTGTAGATAGCACAACGTTATGGAAACTTCTTCGACACTACGGAGTTCCTGAGAAAACTGTCAACATTATCCGGAACTGATACGACGGACTACAGTGCAAAGTAGTGCATGGAGGACAGCTGACAGACGCATTCCAAGTAAGGACCGGAGTAAGACAAGGCTGTCTACTCTCTCCCTTCCTGTTTCTTCTGGTGGTCGACTGGATTATGAAG